AGCTATGGTGTGCTTGAGGGCACAGAGGAGGCTGATAAAAGGTCAGGGACCTTTATTCTGTGGGATCATTTTTTGAAATTTCTGACAATGAAAAAAATTATCTTTGAAATGTTTCTCTTTTTTAACTCCTAACATTGATTCCCTTTAAAGCAGGCATAGGTGTATAAAGCAGCCTCTGTAACCTGTTCTACCACCAGGTTTTTATGGTGGCTTATTGACTGAATGAGAATGATTTTCTCTCCGACCATTCTTTTTTTTTTTTTTTTTTAATTTTTTTTTTAATGTTTATTTATTTTTGAGAGAGTGAGACAGAGTGTGAGCAGGGGAGGGTCAGAGAGAGGGAATCACAGAATCAGAAGCAGGCTCCAGGCTCTGAGCTGTCAGCACAAAGCCTGATACAGGGCTTGAGCTCATGGACCAAGAGATCACGACCTGAGCTGAAGTCAGACGCCCAACCGACTGAGCCACCCAGGCACCCCATTTTTTTTAAAGCTTATTTATTTTTGAGAGAGAGAAAGCACGAGTGGTGGAGAGGCAGAGAGAGAGAAAGAGAGAGAGAGAGAGAGAGAGAATCCCAAGAACACTCCACGCTGTGCAGAGCCCATTGTGCGGCTCAAACCCATGAACTGTGAGATCATGACCCAAGCCCAAGTTGGATGCTTAACTGAATGAGCCACCCAGGCGTCCCAGCTTCCAGACTATTTTTAACCGGACTGTGGCTGCAGCCAGACCACTCTTTCTGGGGCCTTTCTTCCTTGGCATGTACTCAGCTAGATTTCTAATTCCCAAGGTTGTTTTGGGGAACGTCTGCTGTTCTCCCCAGACACTTCTGACCTGTAGCATCTATCAGAGCGTGGTGGCCTCTCGCGTGACTTGTTTCGTTAGTCCCGTACAGCGTGTCTTAGGGAATCATCCATTGTTGACCCAGTTCCTGGTCTCACCTTTGCTCATTTCAGAGAGTTCTCCTGTTCCGAAACATGGTTACCAAGGAGAAGGAGAAACTGGGGCTCGTGGAAACCAGCTCAGCCTCTCCCCACGTCACCCACATCACAATCCGACGGTCCCGCATGTTGGAGGTGAGAAGCCCATCACAAAAAGGTGTACTCTGTGAGACGTGGGGTTTTTAAGGGACGATCTATTGCCTGTGAACTGTCCTTGTCACCCCCTGGTCTGATGACCCCGAAATCGAGACTTAGGGAGTGGAATGGGGCCATGTGTCCTGGGATCGGCTCTGAAGAGCCGCTTGATTAAACATGTCCTCAGTGTCGGGAACCCGCAGTGCAGTGTTTCCCTTCCTGTTCCCCATGCGGGTCCCCCGGGCTGGAACAGTGAGCACTGTGCCCCTTTGCGCAGGAAGTGCCACGTGCAGGCATTCTCGTGTCTGTGCAAACTCCATTCGTCCTGGCAGGCACTTTGCCCAGACTCCCAACTGTGAATGTGGAGGCTGGAGCGTAGGTAGTAAGTTTGCTGAGCCATACTGCGAAGTGCATTTATTCTAGACCTAGGAGTTCTTGGTAGACATGAACTTGGGAGGAACAAGTGAAGTGGCTCACCTCAGCCAACCCAGTGTCCACGGTTGCTGCTATGTGGCAGCTTCACGTGTGCCCGAAATTGGTGCCTGTCCTCAGAACACGTCACCTCTATATGTCAGAAAATTGTAATAATATATTGATTCTGTTGGAACAAGACACCAACTACCGTCTGCTGGAACGTTGTTACAATAAACGTATGTAACTGCGAGGTCTGCGTTGTGTGTGCCGTACCCTCCCCCAGGGTTGTGCAGTGCGGAACCTGCCCAAACGTGCGGATCCCACCAGCGGTGGTAGAATTGGTGACTGAGTCCCAAGCCCACATTCCTGGAAGAGACTAGGCTGGGTTTATTTGCCCATGCTTGCTCTTCAGACCTTTTATCTCGCTTCAGCCACGTTTCCTCATTAGCCTGTTCTGCAGCAGAGGGCAGTCGCAGGATCTCAGGACAGCGCGTGGCCACGTAGCCAGCCACCGGCCAGCGGCCACGGCAGCAGCCCTTCCTCCCGACACATTTTCATTTTCTCCCTTGGGGGATTCACGCTCCTTCCTGGAGAGCTGCTTTCAGTTCCCCCCCCAGCCACTGGTGACTGACACTGGGGTCTGCTGGGGAAAGGCACCATGTGGTAACCAGGTGACGGTTTTGACATTCTTGAAAGTAGAGGTAAGAAATGTAAGTGCCTACAGGGACCCTGCTGGTCGTGGGAATGGGTGAAGCTGGCCGAGCGTGTCCACGCAGGAGCATCTTGTTTGCATGCTGAACGACAGGAATCTTCTTCACTTCCCTGGCTCCCCCCACCCTGCGCTCTCTGAAACACGGCCTGCAGTTTAGGTCACTAAAGAAAAGGGACCCCACGAGCGAGTGGATAAATGACACCTGGCGTCCAGCCTCATTGTTCTCGAGCAGTAGAGAGGGGTGGGTAGGTGGGGAGCACGTGCCCCCTAAAGGAGACCGCCTCCACCCAGTTCCACCTGACTACTTCTTTGTGGGGACTTAGGCTTCACTATGCTCTGGGTTTTTAGAAGGCCAAAATGCGGGGTTTTGTGTGAGATCCCCAGAGCTTTTATGTTGAGAGCTAATGGAATTTGGTAATGTGCCTGGAAGGTTAGATAACACCTGTCTTCCCGGCAAATTCAACCTGCGGGCCACCAGTTTGCGAGCTTTGCTTTGACTCCAAGAAGAGAAAGACCGAGTGGGTTTGGAAACTCCTTCCTGCAGCACTTTCTTCGGTCGGACCTGCACGCTCCTCCCCCGTCCCTTAACATCTTCAGTCCCACTCAGACGCGGCCAGCCCTGACGGGTCACTTCCTGACAGTCGGGAAGTCTGGGGTGCTAGGGACTGGTGCGCCCTGAGAATGACGGAATCCCCAACTCCCTCAAGTGTCCTTGCGTACGGGAGAGTCACCTGACGTCCCCGTTACCCTGGGCCTGCTTGCTCCAACACAGCCTCCAGGGATGTCCGAGGAGGGATGTCTTTCCTAGGTTTTAGGCCAAGTCCGCTTTCCTTTCCATATTCCATTAGAGTCTATCTCGTCATGAACCTGATTACTGTTGTTCATATCGAATTGGGAAGGGGAGAGGGTCATATATTCAGTCACTCTAGTCATTCTCCTGTGGTGGTTTGGTGGTTAGAACAGGAGCGTGCATTTGCTGGATTTGGACACAAGGGGGCATCACAAAGCCGATATTAGCCGCCCCTGGGATATCCCGGGCTTTTATTCGGTTCCCTCTTCTGTGGTTTGTACTGAAGGTGCTGCCTTAGTACCCCGCTTCCAGGTGTTAGCCTGAAGTTTTGCAGGAAGGTGTCCCCTCACAGAAGGTGAACGGGGGCCGGGACCGTAGCATCTGAGAACCAGGAGGAACCTTAGCCATACTCTGCCCAGCCCTGTCCCCTCACTCTGTCAAAGGCAGAACTGAGGCCAGAGAAGTTACGATTCACAGTCAGCTCCATTCAGGTGTCAGTGGGAGAGCCGCGCCTGGGAGCCAGCTCTCGTCCCAGGTCAGGGTCTTTGAGATGCAGTAGAGAAGAGGAACGCCCTCCTCTGACCCACCTCCCGGAAGGAAGGACAGACACAGGTTGAATCCTTGTGTGATGCCGCCGGTGCCCGGAGGATGTGGGGTGCAGCAGGCAGTTAGGAGGCAGCTGGCAAATTCCTCTCTATAGCCCTTCAGAGAAAAGGCCAACGTGGGGCTGGTGAAGAAAAACTGAGGGGCGCCTGGGTGGCTCAGTCGGTTAAGTGTCCGACTCTTGATTTCAGCCAGGTCATGATCTCATGGTTTGTGAGATCGAGCCCCGAGTCAGCTGACAGCACAGAGCCTGCTTGGGATTCTCTCCCTCTCTCTCTCTGCCCCTCGCACCCCACCCCTTTCAATCAATCAATCAATAATAAATGAAAAATGAAAAATAAATAAGATTTGATTCCAGCGAGCATTTCTTAAGTACTTGCCGTGTGTTCAGCCATGTGCTAAGTGCTTGCCCAGGACACCATCTCGTTTAATCTGCATGATACCGACACCCCTCCTAATGGGAAGTAAAGCTAGGAGGCATCATTTCAAAGCAGAATGGAGGAAATCCTGCAAGCAAGCAAGAAGATGTTGGAATTCTCCACCCATCCCCGACTCTGTGCCAAGATGGTGATCTCAAATGGAGACATGTGGTTTAAAGGCTGCCGCTGGCGCTGCACAGTGACTTCTGTTTCCCGCTTCTTTCCATCTAACTTCATGGTTTTCAGACTTCCACATGCATACAGGATACTTCACGGGCCTGTGCACCCGAAACCGTGGTCCTCTGCCTTCCAAAGACCCTCAGAGGTAGTTATTACTGGCTCACTAACTTGGGACCCTCACCCCAGAATAAGATCGGGAGCCACCATGGGGCAGTCCTTTGCATCACCAGAGGAACCTGATCAGCAGGAAGGTGGCAAGAGTTTCCCAAAGCAGGTCTTACTGTTCTGGCCTCGTGTGCTTTGTGACAAGGGACCAGACTGGCAGACAGGTGGATGCCATAGAGATGATCTGTCTCGTGTTAGCAGAACGTCTCACGGCACTGCAGTCATGCCTTGAGAGGGAGACCCGTGGGGCGGCCTCCGTAGGGATATTGCAGTTGATTTGCACCTTCTGCGACAGGATCTAAAGAGCTCACTTTCTCCCCTATGACGGCTTCTCCCTCATGACGGGGCGGCTCATGTTGGATCAGAAGACTCCTCCCTGGCCGCTGTCCTGTTCAGCACTATTTCTGACAGTCACTGCTCTGAAACGAACACCTGAGCGGCCGGCTTATCAGCGCCCACGCGCGAGGAACCTAGGAGACCTTGACAGATTAGAATCAAGAGACAGACTAAACAAGATGATTACAAGAACTCTAAAGTCGTGTCCTCGGGTACTAGATGGCTGCATGCCTCGAGGGCTGGCTGCAGGCTTCTCCTCCCCCCTGCCCCTGCCTGTGGGCCCAGCATCACTCATTCCTGCACCCTTGACTCACTCCTGCACCCTTGTCCCCTCCTTCCAGCTGCTGTGCCATCAACAATGATATTTCTGAGAAAGCCAGTCATGTCTCCCTTCGCCTGGACTCTTCTCTGGCTCCCTAGTGCCCTCAGGCACTAAATTCCTCAGACTGACTCACCAGGCCTTTCCTGATCTGGGGAAAGATTCCAGGAGTTGAGCAGTGGGGGGGTACTTACTTTTCTCACCTTCTGGTGATCTATGAGTCTCACTGACTGATTTTTACCGTGAGCTAAATACGCTACTCTTTGCATTAAAATAGAGGGTAGGATCTTGTCCCAGTTTCTTCCATCCTTTGTGCGGATGGGATGGGATGGCTGAGAGCTTGTCGACTCACCTTGCCTGGTTTCCCTGTCTTGGTGCTCTGCATCGTCTCAGAGGCAGCCTCCCCTTGCCACACAGCAGTGGCGTCACATCCCCAAAATGAGTTTTCCTTTTAACAGGCTCTTGTACAAGCAGGTGAGAACTGCTCATCCCCCCGCCCCGCACCCTGCGTCCTAACTGTTTAGCAATTATGCCGGGAAGGATTCGCACGGGAGCAGGAGCCTTGGGGAGGCAGCCCTGAGTTACGCAGAAGCCCTCTCGCTCCTGACGGGCTGCAATTCTGCTCTCGGCAGGATGGCTACGAGCAGCTCCGGCAGCTGTCCCAGCACGCCATGAAGGGCGTGATCCGTGTGAAGTTCGTCAATGACCTCGGGGTGGACGAGGCCGGCATTGACCAGGACGGTGTTTTCAAGGAGTTCCTGGAGGAAATCATCAAGAGGGTGTTCGACCCGGCACTCAATCTGTTCAAGGTATTTAAGGGGAGCGGGAGCGGGGCTGACGGCAGTCAGGTTCTCGGTGACAAACGAGAAGCGAAGGGCTGGGCTTGCTCTTCACAAGGCATTTAACCTCCCTGCCTCTCTCTCCGTTCTTCCTCACAGACAACCAGCGGGGACGAGAGGCTGTACCCTTCACCCACGTCCTACATTCATGAGAACTATCTACAGCTCTTTGAGTTTGTGGGCAAGATGCTGGGGAAGGCTGTGTATGAGGTAGGCATGTTCAGGAGCATCACCCCGGAAGGGAAAATGAGATGTTAGAAGCCCCGTGGACTTCGTGCGCGTTTTGGTGACCGGGCCCGGCCACGTAAAGGACCTGTCGTTAGGATGGAGTCCAGGAAAGAGGACAGGACCCGAGATTACTGGACAGAAACACTTGGTGCTTTCTGCACGTTATGTCATTTCATCCTCTCGCCAGTGCTGCGGTGTGGCTGCTGCTGTCCCATTTACCTGCAGGTGACAGAACTGAGGCTTTGAGACGCTTGTCCAGAGTCTCAGTGGTAGTTAATCCGTAGAATCCAACTTCATTTTTTTTTTTTTTTAACGTTTATTTATTTTTGGGACAGAGAGAGACAGAGCATGAACGGGGGAGGGGCAGAGAGAGAGGGAGACACAGAATCGGAAACAGGCTCCAGGCTCTGAGCCATCAGCCCACAGCCCGACGCGGGGCTCGAACTCACGGACCGCGAGATCGTGACCTGGCTGAAGTCGGACGCTTAACCGACTGCGCCACCCAGGCGCCCCCGTAGAATCCAACTTCAAACCCAGGTTGGCCTGGTCCCTCCTGGTCCCCAGGAGGGCAGCATTTTGTGGGGTGTGATAGTTGTTAGGGCTCTTTTTAAATGTAAATCTTTTGTTATTGGAGTGAGTGCTTCAGAGCCAGCCACAGGGTCAGAGCCAGCCACAGGGGTCCGGGTGTTGCCTACAGAAGGCAAGGAAGGCAGGGCCTTCCAGAGCCTCAGCTCCTGGTTGAGACCGGTCTTCCCTGGCCAGCTGTGTGACTGAACCTGCAAGTTGCTGTTATTTCCTTTTTTTTTTTTCTTTTTTTTTTTTTTTTTTTTTTTTTTAGAGGGGGGAAGGGGGGGGGGAGAGAGAAAAAGAGAGAGAGAGAGAGAGAGAGAATATCTTAGGCTCCATGCTCGATTCAGGGCTCAACCCCATGACCCTGGGATCATGACTTGAGCCGATATCAAGAGTCAAACGCTCAACCGACTGAGCCACCCAGGCGCCCCTGCTTTTATTTCTCTAGGCCCTTGTTCGCGTCAGAAAGAGTAGGGACGACAAAAGCTGCGTTATCGGCTGTAGATGGTAAATGAGCTAATACAGGTAAAACACCTGTGGTGCCTGGCTCCTCGGTCTCATGGGGTCAGGGTGGTGTGGACTTGTGCAGACTCCAGGTGAGGCCCACGCAGCTCCTGGTCCCTGTCCGCCGTGAGCCAAGCCAGCTGGCACTTGGGTCCCGCCCTTAGGGTCCTGCTCCCCAGGCAGGAAGTAAAGCTGCCGTGGGAGCTCGTGGGCTGCCGCTCTCGTGGCCTTCACGGTGGGCTCCAGAGATGCCTGAGCAGCTCTCCCTTCTCACCCCGTCACAGACCCCAGGGAAGCCAGGCTTCCCTCCGAAGCAGAGCCGGGGGCTGGGGCAGATGGAGGGAGAGAGGCCCTGTGGCCGAGCATACTTATTCTCTGCGTAAATGGCCTCCGTCCACGGCCTCGGTCCCTGGCCGTGGTGCGGTTAGGTGCTCTGTCTGCGTCCCTGCCCAAGCTCCCTCGGGCTGCCTCCTGCCCTGGGCTGGTTGGGGGTCCTGGGCTCCTTTTCTGTGTTTCTGTTTCCACCATTTCTCAGGCGATTCCCATGTAAAGAAGAAATCCCATGAGGATGTGCTTGGCCATATGCCATGTTTCTCCTTGAAACACGAGGTGCCAGAAGAGTTGGGCCCACTGAGAAGCGTGCCTTCGTCATTCTGGGAATGTGCTCCCTGTTCCCTGGACCCAGTGTCTGTCTCCTCCCCCAGCAGTAACAGCACAGGGAGAAGTTAGGACATGCTGGGTCTGTGTGGGGGGCAGTGTGTGTTAACTCACGTTAACTCACTCAGCCCTCTGAGTCAGGCCATCATTGACTCTGAGCCCTGTCCCTTTTAAATCTCTGTGATCTTCTCTCCACCTAGAATAATCTGTCCGTTTTCCTCAGTGTAATGCATGTTTCCTTGCTGTATCCCCACCTCCTATTTTCCTCCTCCGGTGCCTTCCCTATTTCAAGTGCAAACCTGCTTAGAGCCCTCCTGGGGCTCCCTGCTGCCCTCGGGATAGAGTCCAGACTCCAGGAAGCTCCAGAGACCTCTCCTGATCTGGCCCTGCCTCCTCTCTGGCCTCACCCCTCACCTTTCCTCCCCCGAACACCGTGCTGTGGCCAGAGAGCTCTGTGTCCCCTTCCTAGAACACACCTGTGGGCCTTGTGCTCCTTAGGTCTAGCTTAGATAGGTCTTTCTCCTGGAGGCTTCCCCTGCCCTGCCTCCAGGTGAGAGCCTGTGCTCCCCGTTCCTTTCCAGCCTGCTCATTTAATCCTTAAAATGGCGAGGCTATGCGGGGCCCCGTTTACAGATGAGAGAGCCGATGTCCTCACAGCCAGGCAGCTGGGCAGCTGGGATTTGATCCCGAGGCTCTGCAGCTCCAAAGCCTGTGCCCTTACCTGCTGTGCTGTGACGTCCCCCAGAGACACTTGATCCAGGTGGCGGGAGGTACTGGTCTCCACCGGGGAAGTTTAGGCAGCATCTAGAGATCTCACTGGTGCCCTTGGAGCCCCTCTGCGGCCCAGGCCAGCCCGACGAGGTCACCGAGATGGAATCCCGTGGGGCAGACAGGCAAGCTTCTGTCTTTCCTCTCACAGGGAATTGTGGTGGACGTGCCCTTCGCCTCCTTCTTCCTGAGCCAGCTGCTCGGGCACCACCACAGTGTCTTCTATAGCTCCGTGGACGAGCTTCCTTCACTGGACTCAGAGTTCTACAAAAACCTCACTTCTATTAAGGTCAGTGTGGCACGGCAGAAGGCCTGGCTGCAGGCCAGTGCAAACGCAGTGAAGTGAAGGCCTCGGGGCTCTCGGGTGGTGGAAGGCAGCTTCCTACTGTGGGACAGGGGCTGTTCTGCAGCCACCACAGGCTCCTGCGTCCCCTTCTGGCGCTTCTACCCCCTTCCTCGCGGTGAGGAGCCTTTCCCTTTGCTTCAGTAGGAGGGGAAGTATTAAGACCTTCGAGGACCTAGCCCTCCTGGATCCCAACACTTGCCCCTTCTCTGTTGCATTAGCGTTACGAAGGGGACATCGCTGACCTGGGCCTGACTCTGTCGTACGATGAGGACGTCATGGGTCAGGTAGGTCGGCCTCTAGGGCTGAGCTATTCTTCGCCGCCCTCCACCGGCTTCCCGAGACCTTCCCAACACTTAGTGTTTCCCCCAGGAGAAGGTCCACAAACCACAGCTGTCTGTCCTCGTCCCCGGCTCCCTCGCCCATCCCCCTTCTCCCTCCTAGCCAGCAAGGAGGGATCTCCCTTTTCCGATCCCAGTTGACCTGGCCTTTGCCTGCCTGGCCCTCGGAGAGCTCCCCACGGAGACCCTGCTTTGCTTAGCTCGCACTCTGGGCCTTTCCTGATGGAAGCTCTAATTCCCCGTTGGTAACATTGCTTTTTGTTACCATGGTGAGGATTAGCTGTCACACACAGAGTCTTGTGACTTGAAGAGGGGAAGAAGCCACCCGAGAGGAAGTGCCTCGGACAGAATCCAGTCCTTGCTCGTGCTCATCATAAAGAGCAGGGCAGGAAGAAAAGACCCTTGAAACTGCACCAGCAGAGGAGTTTGCTCCCACAGTTTTCCTTTTGGCTTTTCCCCTCAGCGCCTTCAGCGCCCTCTAGTTACATCCCAGTGGACACCTGCGTGAGCCTAGACCAGGAGCTTCGTGGTGCTGAGCTGGCTTCTTGGAGCCATACCTGCATCACCTCAGGGAGGTCACTCAGTCTCCCCAAGCCCCACTTCCCTTATCTCACAAAAGTGCGTTCTTGAACGTGAGTCCTGGCTGGGACCAGCGTCACTCGGTAAACACCTGCAGGCCCCACCCTCCGAAGAGCCTCCCCCACCACCACCCCCAGCACACTGGCCTGTGAGGGAGAAACCTAGTGAGCTGTGCTGACCTCTGCCCTCCCCAGCTCGCTGGGTCTCAGAACTCTTCCAGGGGGAGAGAGAGCCATTCTCCAAGTAGTAGCCCACAGACGTGGTGTTCCACGGAGCCCCCTCTGGGAAACACGAGGCTGAGTGATTGCCAGAGGCCCTTCAGCTTTAAAATCCTCTGGTTGCCCCGAGGTGTTGGCAGCAGTGGGACTAGGGGTCCACGGTTGTTCCTTTCTTCATCATTAGAGACCTAGGGTATTATGTTAATAGAATTTCTGTTAAAATCAGCTTTCAAATCATGCGTTCTTTGATTTTTAAGTGACCCCAGAAGTTCTTGAGGTTGAGGAAAACAATTGATTCTATGGATTTCAAATCTGTAATCAGATTTTGAACATTCCTCCTGACAGTTTTTCTCCTGATGGTAAAAATAATGCAAACTGCAAACCACAAATTCAGCTATACTACAAGCACAAAAATGGAAACGAAACCACCTCTGATGCCAGTGCCAGGAGAGCACCACTGTTAATGTGTGGTCTGTGCTCTTCTAGACTTTTCTCCCTGGGCCCGTATGTAATTTTTAAAGTTTCATTAAGTAATCTCTACACCCAACGTGACTCGAACTCACAACCCTGAGATCAAGAGTCGCATGGTCTTCTGATGGAGCCAGCCAGGCACCTCTATAATTTTTTTTTTTTTTTTTTGTAGAAATGACACCATACCATGCGTGTTGTCATATAACCTTTTTTCCTCCCTTCTCAACAAATACACGTTTTCCTCATATTTTTTTTTTTTTTTTAACGTTTTTTATTTATTTTTGGGACAGAGAGAGACAGAGCATGAACGGGGGAGGGGCAGAGAGAGAGGGAGACACAGAATCGGAAACAGGCTCCAGGCCATCAGCCCAGAGCCCGACGCGGGGCTCGAGCTCACGGACCGTGAGATCGTGACCTGGCTGAAGTCGGACGCTTAACCACTGCGCCACCCAGGCGCCCCTATTTTCCTCATATTTTTTAATAGCTGCATGACATTCCGGGGTATGGCTGTACCAACATATATTTAACCATCCTCTGTGCTCATAAATGCTAACACGGTCCCCTCCACGACATCTTGAAGCCTTACTACAAATGTTTGAACGAGGATCGGATGAGAAGACACTTTCAATATTGATCATGTAGGGTCCGCTTGTTGAGACTGAAGCCCTGGCTTTTTGTGAAGATGATTGCCCCCAGACATGCTCCACCTCGAGTCTGTCATTATTAGGGATATTGACGTCGGGCCCTTTCGTCTTCAGAGAGCTTTATTTCCCCGTTAGAATTCTCTCGAGTCATTGCTCCCCGTCTTCTCCCCCAGCTCGTTTGCCATGAACTGACTCCTGGAGGGAAGACCACGCCAGTTACGAATGCAAATAAGTGAGTATAGCAATTAGATTTTTAAAGTCACCACTTGAAAAGACTTCATTCTGGCTTTCTGGGCTCACTTGGAGAATTTATTAAGATAAATCGAAGTAGAAAGAGGCCATAAATATCATCATGGAATTTACTGGTTACAGTTCAGAGGCCAAAATTGCGTTAAATTCGATTTGCAAAATAAGAATTGACAATTTATTTTTTGCAGTAGCACATCTAAGGTCAGAGGCACCCCGGCCACGGTGTTCCTAGGAATTTAATGACGGCTCGAGATGCAGACAAATGGATTCTGAGCCACTCAGGCACGTAGTCCTGAACCCAGAGGGCATGGAGGCGGAAAGACACCTTGGAGGGGCAGATCATTTTGGAATGATAGCATGTGGCAGTTGTATAAAACGCTGTTCTTGAGAAGACACGGTGATGAATTCAAATGCCACAGACAGGTCCTTAGACGCGGGGAGACTCTGAGGCCCGGCAGCTATTGTCACAGATAACAGGCTTTTAGAAATCTATCATAAATGTCAACCTCCTTGGTCCCTGGAAGCAAAACTCCTCAATGCACTGTCTCCACCCGCACTATTCTCCCCTAATTAAAACAGTAGAACCTGGCATGAGGAGTAGATATTGGCCCTTTTGTCAATCTATCAATCTTCTCCTGCCGCCAGGCTCAGTGGAGCCTCTGAACTGTTAATCTGAGCATCACTCTCCTACTGACAAGTGAGAGCTCAGTCCCGCCTGGTGAGTCATTTGGATCAGATGCACATCACAGCCCAGTGTTCCGAGCAGTGTGGCCCTCCTGGGTCAGGTGGTTGGGTCATTCCGCATGCTTGGGGAGCCTTTATTTAGAAGAGCAGACCTGATATCCATCATGATCGAAAGACCCCAGTTTTGACTCCTGGCCACGGGGCATCAGTTGGACAACTGAGCAAAGAACAGGGAGCCGAGGCTGGGAGGCACTGCCTGAGGGTGTCCGAGAGCAGGGGCGGGTCATGTGCCTGCCTGCCGTGGGCCTGTAACCGCCCCTTCTGAGGGCTTCGTGTGAAGCAATGCCATGCAACAGACCTTTCAGGATGTGTGGCTCAAAGGGAAGCTTTGGTCAGTGGGAGCAGCGAGCATCACCACTGTCAGATGTGTGACGTGTCACACAGAGCCCGCCACCCTCAGATCGGCCGCGTTTGGCCAGGCATCGCGGCACAGAGGTGAGGGTGGGAGCGGCATGTAGCACAGCCGGGGGCAGGGGGTCGGTGCGGCCTGTGTTGGAGTGAGGTCCCTGTCCTGCCTGGAGACCCGTGTGGGATGCCGCTTCACAAACGCTTACACGTTCTTAGCATCCAAGCTCAGTATAAGGGCTGGGGGTTCGGTCCTACGGACGGTCTTAAGAGGTCTGGAAATGCCAATGCTGCCCTCCTCAGGGGTGATGTTTGATCTGGGGGTCGGGGAGGTAAAATGGGAAAGTCCCCCACAGTCCCTCCCTTTTGGTAAAATGGAACGTCAGCAACAGCTTCAGAGAGTCCATGAGTGGCGATAATGGGAAAAGTCATATGTGAGTACACTGATGTGTGGGTCTGCTACTGGTTTAAATAGTCCTATTTTCAAGGTCAGTAACTCAAATCTGAGCATCGTGGGGTAAAATTTTTATTGGGACTGTGCTAATTTGGGCTTTTGAGAGTTGCACCTGGGCTGGCCTCAGGTTCTTTCATCTCTGAGGAAATGGTTTGCTAAGAAATCCGCCATGGTAGCAAGCCCGGATTTAACCTGTTCGAAAGAGTTGCACGGTATATGGTGTTGCAGATGAGGTCACCGTGCTCATGAAAACAGACCCCGAAGACCCTCTGCTCGGAACCCGTGTTAGTGCTCTGGCTTCCCCATCGAACCCGTCAGCCAGCTGCATTTAGTTACAACTATCCGCGGGCTTACCTCTTCATGGCTGAGAGCCTTGGTCTGGATTAGCAAGGCTTTGACCGAGGTTCCATCATGAAACCACGTTTCCTCTGCTTTAAAGCTTATTGGAGGACTGAATTATATCTTATATCAGTGAAATTAAATAGAAGCCCGAAAAGCACCCTTTGTACTGAGAAGGGTCCTCTCCTCACCTGGAGAATGTCTCACTTCTATTCTCGGTACAGTGGGGTGTCGCCCGATCGTGACCCACTGGGTTTGGGGGAGGAATGAGTGAGATCGTGCCCTTGAACGCACGGTGCATACACAGTGGCACCACCACCATCATCGTCCTCATGATCGTTCTGGTGAGAGGCCCTTGTGCCGTTTGTGTTTTTGCGAAATGGTCCAGAAATGACTGGACTCCTCTTTCGTTCCGTTGGTAACAGCCCGCCCTGGCCTTTTCATTCCCGTCGTTTTCTCTTGTTTGCAACAGGATTAGCTACATCCATCTGATGGCCCACTTTCGAATGCACACTCAGATCAAAAACCAGACAGCTGCCCTCATTAGTGGGTTCCGTTCCATTATCAAGCCCGAGTGGATCCGGATGTTCTCGACCCCCGAGCTACAGCGTCTCATCTCCGGTGACAATGCTGAGATTGACCTGGAAGATTTAAAGTAAGGAGCAAGAAAGAGGGGGGAGAGGTGAAATCTTAGGCCACCCGGAAAGCAAGCTCTGCTCCCTTGCTGGGCTCCCTTCGGAGAGCTGTTTCTGCAGCCCACCTCCAAGTGTACTGCTCCCTGATTAAGGGTGAATCGCCCTGGAATAAAAGCTCAGCCACTTGTCTGTCTGGGGACCCAAGAAGTCGAAGTAGAGACTGAGCAAGTCTCAGGGACCGCCCGCTGGGCTCTCCAGGGCTCGGGAAATGGGATTGCAGGATCTCCTGTCGGCTCCTGCTCCGGAGCCGCAGGCCTGGCTCTTAAGCTCCCAGGGACATGGGTTACGAAGGCATGAGCTTCCAGCCTTCCAAGAAGTCAGTAGTCGCCCGGGCCTACCCAGGTTTGCTGTGTCATTTGGCTAAATCCCATCCCTGCCTGTGTCTGTGAGCACCCGTGGGAGTGTGTGTCTGAGCCCACTGTCTGCGTTGTTTTCAGGAAGCACACGGTGTACTACGGTGGGTTTCACGGAAGTCACAGGGTCATCATCTGGCTCTGGGATATTCTGGCCTCTGACTTCACACCTGACGAGAGAGCCATGTTTCTGAAGGTATTTTATATGTTGCCTTTACGCACATTCATAGATACTCTCCTAAACCTAGAGGCCACTTGATACAGTAATTTACACTGGAAAAAAATAAAATTACCAAGAGGACCTCATTTTATCGGCATATCCTCTCCCGGAGGCCGGCCTCCTTGGTAAGTCAAGCAGTAACAAGACAGGCCCAAGGCGAGGCTGAGTCGGGTGCGCCCGGGACCTGCTGCCTACTCCTCTGCAGAAACAGGCCTGCCTGGGCCCGAGCTGGCTGGGCTCAGCACTCCGTCTTCCCCTTCATTGGCGCTGGCCTTGCCCGTATCTTCTTTCTTCCTGATAGAAGCAAACGGTGTTGATTACCTTAAGATACAGACAAGCAAACTTTTTTCTTTTAAGATTTTTTTTAAAAAGTAACCTCTACACCCAATGTGGGGCTCAAACTTATAACCCCAAGAGCAAGAGTCACGCGCTCCACTGACTGAGCCAGCCAGGCACCCACCAGATGAGCAGACTTTTTAACAGTCTCCATTCCTGCTCTCCAGGGACTGCCTCTGTGTACCCTTTTTCTCAGTAGTGTGAAACATACAGTGTCACACACACAATGTCCTGATAAAACACACGTGACTGAGGGGCGCTCGGGTGACTCAGTCAGTTGGGCATCTGACTCTTGATGTCGGCTCAGGTCATGATCTCATAGTTCGTGGTATCGAGCCCCGCACTGGGCTCTGTACTGAGCGCGGAGCCTGCTTGGGATGCTCTCCCTCCCTCTCTCTCTCTGCCCCTCTCCCCGGTTCGCACACGCCCTCTCTCTCAAAATAAAAAAAAAAAATATTTTTTAAGAAACACATATGGTTGAGTAGGCTGGTAGTGACATATATTTTTGCAGAGTGGCTGACATTAACCAGTTCCCTTATATTGGTGTCTCTGAAGTTGTAAATGTTCAAAGCGTTCCCTCAGGGCCACCGTGTTTCCTGTTACTGACCTCGGCAAAGTGTGTTATAGGACACTGGATGGTATTTACACTTGTCTGTGTATGTGTTGTGTACCTGTGTATCTTATAAAAATGGAATCGTCACTTTGTTATCTGGTCTTCTATTTGATGTTTTGTCACGAACATTTTGCCATATTCTGGGGATAAATTTAAGTGCCTTAAAATATTTTCCTTCGGATGTTTGGGTTTCTCGAATGGTCTCAAGTGACCGCAGTCATTGAAGCAGCATGAACAGTATCACCACCAATTGAAATGGCAGCGGGTTTTCTTCCTCCTTGGTTTGTCGTTGTGAGGAGAGTTCATTCCCATCAAGGAGGCCCTTCTCACAGATGCAGAAATGCCCTGGTCATCCCTGCAGGTTTTGAGGGACTTGGGGTAGGCAGGTGGACCTAATTCCAGAAGTTGATTCTCAAGAGAATCAATTCAGTTTTTCCGACAGCGCCTCCTATAGGCAAAACACTCTGCCGACCCATAAAACCGCTCGCCCTGCCTCTCCCGGAAAGGAAGAGGGCCAGTGTCTCATAACCGTGTGCAGCCACTGTCCCACACGGCGGGCCTGTGTGTCTCTGGATAGCCTGTCGCCAGAGCTGCCGTTCCTGCTCGTGTGCCCTCCCTTTTCTGCACACGGGCCCCAGAGCCGGGTGGTACCGTACTACACAAGCGTCGTAGCACAGGAGTGGACATGACTCTGCCTTCTCTAGACGTCACACCAGCAGATGGCAGCTCCCTGGGCCACCTCCCCGCCCCCGCCTTCCTCCTCCTCCTGCCCCAGGGGCTGAAGGCACCACTCCCTCCATTGAGCAGCCCTGGCCTGCAGCAGGTCTGAGCGGCCCGAACTGGAATATGCACAGACTCTCCTGGGTCTGTCTCCTCCTCCTTAACACAGAGCAAATCCCACAAGCTTCCGTGGAGTGATTAGACGAGACCGGGCTCCCAGAGCCCTCAGACATCGGCTTGCCGTGGCATTTGGAAGCACGGCCTGGTGTTGTAAGTAGCAGGTCCGTACCTGCCCTGGAGAAGGGAGCGCATTTTTAGCTGATGTTGAACTTTAGAAAGCAAATCGTTTCTTAGGCCTTCCCTGGGCAGGTTTATCCCTTGGATTTCCGGGTCACTCCGATTCCTCTGTCCAGACATGAGCTAGCCCGTTGGGGGAAATAACATGGGTGCGGCCACGTGGAAGATGCAAGGAATCCCGAGAGTCTGGCAAGGGAGCAGGGCTGATTGCCCGTAGGCCCCATCTCAGGTCTTGGTCTGCCCCTCGGCCTTGCTGGCCCTTGAGGCCTGGTTTTTGTCCACATGCTGAGAGCAGATTCATCTGTCAGAGACCACTCACAGAGACTGCTCTGTAAACCAGCAGGCTGGGAGCTTGGGTGAGCACACCCACATACCCTTGCCTGCGTGGCTAGGAAGCCGAGCAGGAAGCCAGGTGCAGGGGGAGCAGGGCCCCCTCTCCTGTGCCACGCTTGGTGGGCATCACGGTCTCAGTGTCCCCAGTGCTCCCATTGCATGGTGTCTGTCTGAGCGATGGTCACCGTGCCAGACCCACTGGGGGTCAGTCCCGTGTGGGGAGTTTGTGTTGTTCCTGAACTCTTGAGCTGCACATTCTCCACCCAGTGATGGGGTTGATGCCCACAAAGTCACACCCACTGGTGTGGTCTTCAGGGGTTTTAACCTTCGAGAGCAGCACCCTTAAGAGAGATGTGAGATGTGTTCCGGCCCTTGGACCAAATGCACTCTCTGTCACCGTCCTGGCAGCTGCACGGCAGTTAATGGGACTGTGACCGGAGAAGGCAGAAAAGGGAAGCTCGCCTGTAAGGGGCCTGTTTTGAGGGAGCAAGGGCCCCACTCTGTCCCCCAACCTGCCTTGTGTTGCAGTTTGTGACCAGCTGCTCCAGGCCCCCGCTCCTGGGATTCGCCTACCTCAAGCCTCCTTTTTCCATCCGCTGTGTTGAAGTGTCAGACGATCAGGTACCGCTGCCGGGGGTGGTGGGGGGACAGTCGGCCCCTCTTGGTTGTTGTCGGCTCTGCCCACCGGCTGGAGCCTCCACCCGGTCCGTGTCCGCACGGCAGGCAGCGCGGCTCCTCGGAGCCCCGTGAGAAGGTTCCACGGCCCTCTGGCCGGGAGAGCGGTCCGGCACCCAGAGGGTACCCTCAGATCCGGGCTGCTCTGGGGCCTGAGCTCTCCTTACTCCCTTGGGAGAAAGTACCCGGGAGCGGTTTTGGCAGCTGCCGGCCCGACCAGGGCTCCGGGTGTGAGGGGCGGTGGGAGAGAGGGGTGGGGACGCCAGCTGAGGAGTGGGCGGCACAAGCCCGAATGCCGGCCGTGCACATCCAGCACGTCGCTTCATCTCCTTGTCTGTGAGGGAGAACGGATGCCTTCGGGGTCATCATGCTGTGTGGAAGGGGCCCTCGAAGAGTCGCCAGTGAAAGGGTCTCAGCCCTCCCCTCACCACCCGCGAAACCCAGTAGTCCCTGCACGTGGCTCCCTTCAGGACGGTGCGGTCTGGGCTCCAGGTCCCTCGTGAAACACTAGCCGACTCTCAGTCCCCTTACTTAAGGAGGCTGCCCCACTTACGGTCCTCCGTAGGCCGCCACGCTGGCAGTAGGAATCGTTCAGCCGCATTAGGCATGATTTTGTACCTCGAGTGTTCTTACAGTATTCTGGCTCTTTGAAAACTGCTAGCCAGCAGTTAAGCGGAAAGCCCTATCTCTGAGCGCGTACTTAACACAGGAGTCCTTGTGCAGGACCGAGCCGCGGGGGCCGCCTCCGTGCACTCAGCGCTCGGGGCCAGTCATGCCGCGATTGGGGGCTGGCCTCGGGCAGCAGCGTGCGCGCTTGCCGGCCCGCCGTCGTGCTCCGCCCCTGGCGCCGGGCGCCTCCCGCCCAAGGCTGTGGTGTGTGCTTGCAGGACACCGGGGACACCCTCGGCAGTGTCCTCCGGGGCTTCTTCACCATCCGCAAGCGGGAGCCAGGCGGCCGCCTGCCCACATCCTCCACCTGCTTCAACCTGCTCAAGCTGCCCAACTACAGCAGGAAGAGCGTGCTCCGCGAGAAGCTGCGCTATGCCGTCAGCATGAACACGGGCTTCGAGCTCTCCTAGCTCCCGCGCCCGCCCCCACCCTGGCCGACTCCCGGCGTCCCGGGCCCTTCGGCTCCGGGGGTAGTGGCGCCCTGGGAAAGTGACCACAAGCCAGGTGACCTCTCGCTCTCTATAGCCATGAGACTCCCCTGTGGCCTCAACAACTTGGGACGCACGTGACAACTCCATAGCATTCCCTAGGTGACACTGATGGGAAGGGTGTTGAGAATAAACCTCCAAGTTCCGCCAGCGCTGCTCCTTTTCGCCTACTTTCCGGGGGCCTGTGACGCAGAGGGCCTTCTTCTGATGGTTTGGTTTCTCGGTGAGTCTTTTCTTTCCCTAACTCTGAGCTGCGTATGAACAAGTCCCAAGAACTCCCAGGGTCCAGAGTGTTCTTCATGACATGGGCCCGAGTGCGCAAAGCCCACTATAGGTGAGATGCTCTCCTTCCGTTTCCGAAAACTCTACTCAGGTAAGGCCTCGCCAAGCCTCTATGCACTCGACAAAGTCTCTGCCCCTCCGGGCCACAGCAGCCTCTCTCCAGACCGCCAGGCTCACCTGCTGCCCAGGGAAGCAGAGGTGCCCGCCAGGGAGGCCGTGGAGCCCAGGAAGTTCAGGGCGCTGCCCCCACCTCGAAACCACGCATTCCACACAGCGGCAGTGCCCCTTCCCCTGTCTCGCCTCAGATGCTGTGCGCACTCAGCAGGCTGAGCGGCCGGGAGGCTTCCACTGGCTTGACCCCATCTTGTGCACTCACTTTGGCATCTGGCTTTGGGGGAAAAAAAAACCCTTGGCCCTTAAGAGCAACTCTGTTTCCAGAAGGCTCTGGCTGTTCCCCCAAACCTGCTGATTCCTAAGAGGGCGGCTGCCTTCTCCCCGCTGGTGTGCCCTACTTGTTGTCTAGTAAGGAACAAGCACTAGCCAAGTTACCCAGCCTGTCCAGGCAGTGACTTTCCTCCATTGATGATAAAGTTGCAAAACAAACAAACAAAAAAACCTTGGATCTTACCGCTCATCCGTCCTCAATGCAGGGAACCGGGAGCCCTTTCCCTGATGGAGGCTCAAGGGCTGAGGAAACGGAGTTGGGGTTTGGGGTTTTGTTTTTTTTACTTCATTTTCTCTTCCAACCCATTATGCCCCCTCCCCCCGCCCTCATTCCCACCCCTTGTCCTGAGAACTTTAGTCTAGATCCAGGGACTTGAGACAGAGGCCGTGTCTGTGGCCTGTGTTGACAGCCATCCACCCTCACCCACCCCGTCAAGCTCCTTACGCATCCCTACCACCAAGGTAGAAGCCGGGAGTGCCTGGTCCCTCCTCTGCTCTGTGGAGCCGGCTGAGGGCTGACAGCTCTCTTCCAAGCAGCAAAGCACCTTCCGGCATGCTGGTGGCAAAGCGGGCAAGACCTGTCTCCATGGCCTCCATCAGAGGGTCACAGCTGGGTACCACGTCCTGCTCGGGTTTGACCCTGGCTCTGTTAGAGCCCCTGCACTTCTGAAGAACAGAGTTTTCCTTTGATGGAAAGACGGCAAGGAATCTAAAGACAGACAGGAATTTGTTATTTAAGATTTGTTAGTAACCTCTAGATCTATGGATTTGCCACTTTAGATAACCCGACTCTCCTAAAGCTCTCCTCTGAATGCGTGCAGGTGCACTGAGCAGGTTTGTACGTTTATGCTGCGGCCCAGATTGTCCACCTGCACAAAGACGTGTGATTCCCCCTCAGCTTTTATTACCTGAGAATCCGCCAGCGTGGGACTGCGGAGAGAGTGGTTTCCAAGCACCAATGTCAACTTTATTTGTTCTTTTGATGAGGAGGGGTAGTTTGTGATTTCGTTTAAACTCTCTTCAACAGCTGGAAATATTGCACTATCTAAAACCCTGCATCGGGGCGCCTGGGTGGCGCAGTCGGTTAAGCGTCCGACTTCAGCCAGGTCACGATCTCGCGGTCCGTGAGTTCGAGCCCCGTGTCGGGCTCTGGGCTGATGGCTCAGAGCCTGGAGCCTGTTTCCGATTCTGTGTCTCCCTCTCTCTCTGCCCCTCCCCTGTTCATGCTCTGTCTCTCTCTGTCCCAAAAATAAATAAACGTTGAAAGAAAAAAAATTTTTTAAAAATAAAAATAAAAAAATAAAACCCTGCATCTGTACGTTTATGGCTGGTGTTCGTGGACACCTCGATGGCTCTTGATGGCTCTAAAAAGTTGTGGCATTTTTTTGTCATTGTTGTTTCATAGATAACCTAGAGATTAAAATGTGATCAAAGGCTTTATTAAATTTGTACTTCAGCACATGATGTCTGTGTTCTGCTTTTTATCTGAAGGAGCGCTTTTCGACCACGTGTGTGGATAGCTCACGATGGGGCGCCTGGAGCTTAAAGGGCACGTAGGCTCCTGCAGCGGAAAGAAGGTACAAAGGAAAATGTAACAGACTCCCCAGTCTCACCCACTAAGCAGAGTCAGTAGCGGTTGACAGTGTCCTGTTTGCTTCCACTTCTGTTTTGAGAAGTAGCACACTTCAGATAAAGCGAAGGTCGTCTTCAGCACCGCCCGGGCCCTTGCCCTCTCACCCACCTCCCAGAGGCAGCCATCTCCCTGGCGTACGTGTCTTACACACAAATGGATAGAAGCGATAGATGTATGTCCGTTGAAAACAATCCACATAAATTCACGAGCGTGTGAGGGCAAACTTTACAGCTACGTCTGGGTCCATTCAGCTCTGCCCCCACGCTGAGGATCATCCTTGCAGGATATACAGCCGTGTCCCGTTCTGTTCAGCCCAGATTTATACTCCGCAGGAAACCCATGTCAAACCTGCCCGTTTTTCCCTGGTGCCTCCAGCCTCCTGTGAGTTCTCCCTGCCTGGAGCAGGGAGCCCTTGGAGGGTCTGAGCGGGAGGCTGGCCCCCTGAGATCCAGGGACTCAGGAGAGATGTCTTGAAAGCCTGGCAGCTCTTTTACAACAGTCAGAACGCCTGGGCACCCAAGAGAATTCCATGCGTGCCGGCTTTTCTCACCTGGAGCATTTGTACCACGGGAGGGAAAGAATCCTGCCAAGCTCCCTAAACAACATCAGTAGGGTCCAGCATGAGACACCCAGAGCCTCATTCTGTGCCAAAACAATGACTTTTTTTTTTGAGAGTGTAGGAGCGGGAGAGAGGGGCAGAGGGAGAGAAAGAATCCCACGCAGGCTCCACACTCAGCAAAGAGCCTGACGTGGGGCCCGATCCCACGACCCTGGGACCACGACCTGAGCTAAAATCGAGAGTCGGCCGCTCCACCGACTGAGCCACCCAGGAGCCCTTACATGAAGACGATTTTAATAACACGGCCAGAACTTGCAAGTGCCTGAGAATATTTACATGGAATGCTGGTCTCTGCAGCGTTTCTGACCTAGCAGAGCCATGAGCCTATCTTTGTCCCGTTAACTTAGCAGATGTCACACTACGAAAAGTGACAGGGTCGCGAACAGACAGGTTATCTCTGAGGTTGGTTAACATGTAGATCCAGGGCTCCCTCAGGCCCCAGACTTATTTCCTGGAAAGCTCATAGGTTGATCAGAGCAGCTGCAGAACTGTGGAAAGTGGTTGGTTTGGAGCACCGTTTCGAGAAGCAGAGCGCGGGCTCGGGACCACGGAGACGCGTGCCAACCCTGACTTCCTGCTCCATCCCAGGCCGGCCTCTGCGTGCGCCTCTTCAGAGTCTCCTGTCCCCTTCAGGGGGCGCGGGGCTTAAATGAAGCAGCACGAGGCCCGCAGCCCGCTCAGTTCCTGGCACCGAGTCCGCACTCAGATGTTAGTCCTATTCCTACATTTGCCCACCTTGGCACTAGAAGGAAACGGGACTGCCCGTGACTTGTCACTTAGGCCCCGACCCGACTTCCGGGAGCTTCCGCTGCCACCGACCGACACAGCAGGGCAGTGAGAAATCATATGGAGAAGTCTCGTCCGCAATCTCCCTCTGGAACTTCTGCAGGAATGGGGGGCAGGTGCACTCACGGAGGCCCAGACAGGATCCAAGGGTCTCTCCAGTGTTCGGAGTCGCAAGGAAGTCGCTCGCTCACTGTAATCGTCAGGAGAACTAACCTTTGTTGCAAGCACGTGCTTGGATTGTGACTTGACTCCGGAGTCCGAGCTGAGCGAGTGCACTGGACAGAGCAAGGGATTTGGAGCCTCTGGAACCGGGTTCGCATCCTGGCTCTGCTGTCCACTCACCCTGAGGCCAGGGACAAGACCCTCGGCGTCTCTGGGCTGCACCTCCCTCTTCCATAGAATGGACCTAGCAGCAGCCCGCCCGTAGTGTGGCCCGAAAAGCCCCAGCTTGTGCCGGGCCCTCTGTGGACAGTGATAACAGTGATTCACCGCTGGTGTAACCGTCCTCGTTATTTTATTCCAGAGACCTAGTTGACGCCCTCTCTGGAGTTCTGTCTTTCACACTCCGTGTGAGGAGGCATCCATAGGTGTCAGCGGGACGTGCCGAGGGGCTTCTGCCGGGCTTCACCCTCAGCCTCCGGTTTTTGGCTCCTTTGCCCGAGCCCTCGCCGTGTCCTGAGCCTTCCGCCGTACGGGCCCGGCAGCCACATCCCCTTCGTGGCTTTCCTGGCCCTCGGCAGTTGGGTGGCCCCTGAGCCGCGGGAGACTCAGAGACTCGGGCAGACCGGGGTCTGTGTCATTTTACAGACCCTCCGCCAAGAGAGCCAGACGGCGAGAACGCTCAGCGACCACAGGAGAGGCCCCGTAGGTGTGACCTGCTTCTCTGACCCCGGAGAAGCCTGCAGAGGAAGCCGAAAGCGTAAGTCAGACTCCAGGCTTCCCGAACACCGTGTGCCCACAAGTCACCGAGGGGGACCCGCCTGATTCAGCGGCTCTGGGGGGCCCGGGGGCCCTCGTTCCTGACCGCCTGGCGCCGCACCGCAGACCGCACTCAGGAGCAAAGGTTGGAGCGCGTGCGCCACGCTCTGGGGCCCGGCGTTCAGACACGTGGGGGAAGGAGACCCTGAACTTGGCATCAAACGCTGGTTCAGGTCCGCCGAGTGACTCTGGGCAGGCCTCCAACTTCCTGAACCTTTTCTTCCTCAGCAGGAAAATCGCCCCGACAGTAACCCTCCCGCTTACCTCATGGACAGCTCGCGGCTGCGGGGTCTTCCAGACACGGGTGCCAAGCCCAGCCCCGCTTCTCACTGGCCGCGGGAGCTTTGCCCGCCTCTCCCGGCCTCGCTCTCATCCGCAAAACGGGAGTCGGACCTTACAAAGCCTCTC